AGAATGATAGAATGACGAGAAGAGAGAGAGAGAGAGCGAGAGAGGCGGGGGCGGAGTTTTGGGTAGGGGAGAAAGAGCTGGAGTTTAATAAAAGATTAGAGGAGAGGGTAAGTGAGAGACTTTAGTCCCATTTAAGCTGTTTCTTCCTTTATTTGTATTTTATTGTCTCTGACCACCCGTGACTCTGCATACACCAGTTATAATTTGATTGTTTCTTCCAATCGTCCAGCTGCGCACTACTTTATACACCTTACCTTTTCGGAGACACTGCATTACAGTCACTACAATGGTTCATATGTGAGCGCCGTAGTCACAGCTTTGTGTTGCCCTGGAGGTTTCATTGAAATGACAGTTAGGTCCGGTTTTCCTGACACAGTGACATTGATGTGCACCATGCGTGGGATTTCTAAGCTGTAATGCTATCTTACCAGCGGTTTCATTGGCGCTAGAACGGTGGGTCTCAGGTTCTTGGAGTCCCCTCTCCGCTCCTTTCCTCAAGATAGTGTAAGTGACTAAGCGTCTCCCCACGCCTCCTCCCCCAACCATGCATAGTAGCTCTCTTTTTAGTTTGTTTCTATATTGTACTTTATTCCGAGTGCATTGTTATATTTACTTGGTACTGAATATATATATATATATATATATATATATATATATATATATATATATATATATATATATATATATATATATATATATATATATGGCTAGTTGATTTCGGTCACACGCGTGAAGGAAAATTAAGTCCGTTGTGATGTGTATAAGGACTAGCTCCGTTCCTCAGCTCCGATGCCAAGCTTCTCTGTGCTGGTTCTACAGAACCTCATGCAAGACACCTACTGCACGTCCTCGTCGTGTGCTACTGATAATGTCTCAAATAATCAGAGCTGACAGGGGATTTCGGAGCTGGTGGCCCTCAGAGAAGTAGTGCCCAGTCTGGCTCTCATCAGCCCGTCCCCAGAATCAAGATTGAAAGCTTGTATCAAAACTCGTCAGATTAGTGATTAGAAAGGATTATCATCACAGCACTCCGGACAGATCCATAGGTGCTCCAATCTCCTCCTCAAAAGCTCCACAAACTAAAACGAAAGATGACGCCTGAGAATCACTTTCTAACAAAACTCAGTTGGAACGTGAGCAAAGCCCGATTGCATAATGTAGCACCTTTCCTGTCAACTCTCAGTTAATAGTCTGTCGAGTGATGGAAAAACTGAACTACAGAGACTTTCTTTGAGGGCTGTCCAGCCGGCACGCAGTTGCCCTAAAGGGGTTCTCCAGGGGCAATATCTGTAGATAAAGAGATAAAGAGGTTACCACACAAATGAGGCAACGTCCCACACAACAATGGCCACAGTCATACTAGAGATAAGATCGACGTTTTACCTCGACGTCGGAGTACATAGGCCGCACACAAATAAGCCAATAAAAACTATTGTGCACGCAAAACTCAGGTCCTGGTACAGAGCCAAAAGTCAAAATTGACGAACAAACAGGACTTTCCGTCAAAATTCACAGCCAGTGAACACACACAAAAAGCGAAACAAAATATATATATACACACACGTATGTGTGTCCTTTAGCACAACCCTCAGTTGTAAAGTAAAGATCCTTTTTCACGCCTTTAGGCGTATCGGGCATATGGAAAGGGCACCCATCATTTTACAGGCCAATTGGCACTAGGTGGGTAGTGTGGTCAGCATTATGCCGGCCGTCTTTACTTCACCAGGACATATATCCTGGTACCCATGTTAGGCCTAATCGACCTGCGACACCCCATACCAGGATAAAAATCCACGAAGCCAGCAGTGGGTTTTGATGCCACTCTCACAACATACATATATATATATATATATATATATATATATATATATATATATATATATATATATATATATATATATATATATATATATGCGTGTGTGTGTGTGTGTGTGTGTGTGTGTGTGTGTGTGTGTCCTTTATCTTTACCCTCTATAAAATGTGTAAGCGGGTGCTCCCACCGTTTCGTTCGTGACGGCGCCCCCGCCCGTCTTGATAACATAATCTGAGGTAACAGTATCTCTGTACAACACTAGGTGTCCTTTGAATGCCGACTTTGTGTCAGGTTATCACACTGTGCAGTCGGTTCGTGTGGAAACGCCCTTGGTATAAATGTTTTGTCATCTAGCGGCATGTCTTCCTCCTTTGGCGATGACATTGTAATGTTCGTTTATCACGAAGTAGCATAGCTGCTGCATGGAAGACCATCTGCATTGGAAAGGTTTGATTGTACATACGGCCGAAGACTGTGGACAAATATAATTACCATTACCACACGGCAGAGATGATAAAAACATAGCTATTATTTATTTATGATTGTGAAGTTTCATGGTAGCACTAAAGCTGGGTTTAAGCCAACCTCCAATACCTTCATTGCTTTTTAAAGACACATTACCACGTAATGCTCCTTCAGCTCTTTCGGGACCACCATGCGTTTCCTGCTTACTCTAAAGACAACATGCTGTTCTTGCATTCTTCTATAACACACAACAGCTACATTAGCTAGAGGTATCCATACTGTCAGTTTAACCCTTTCTGTCTCATAGTATTTTGCGTGTAACTACTTAGGACTTGAATATGTAATACTTTCAAGTACAACTTCTTAGAATAGAATAAGAAATAACTGTTTGGGAACAAAAAAGTTAATGTCCATCAACATTCATCGTTGTCTTCGCAAATGAAGACACAATAAGGCATATGGGCATGCTTGAAAATATTTAAGAAGGAGCGGTTGGGTCAAAGTTTTTGAGAAACGATCAAACTTGTGTAGGTCTCTAATTAAATTGGGTTAGGAGTGCAGGGATTGGCCAGGGGGCGGAGCCGGATCAGAAGTTCAAGTTATTATCTATAGAGATGGCTCTGTGTTGAGGCAGGAGTGCATGCGAGTTTCTAGCAAATATGAGTGGACAACCCTAAGTGCAAAAAAAAGCCTGGCATATAATATCAAAATATATAATTTGAGAAGAGACTTGGAAGTAGTCAATGCAGCCTTCTGCTGGTTTGAAAACCAGTTGCGCACACAGGCCGTGATTTCAACGAAATTAAATGCTGAGAAAGATAGGACGGTAGGCTTTATGCAGAGTCGCAAGCATTGCATTAGAGGTCCTCAGCAGTTAGCGTCCTTTAGATAGTTTCTCCAGGTCATAGCGATGTGTTGGGAAACAAACTGGCAGATAGATTGGCTGGTTCCGCACCACTTGGTGGCAAACTAAGGTATGACGAGCTAGATGCTGTCATGGCCTTTTGGGAGCGAGTGAACAGCGTGATTCGTGAATAGACGACAAGAAAGAACGAGACGGATATACAATAACATTGCTTAATGTACCATAGGCGTTGGGACTCTGAGCTGACTGCTAAAGATGGAGACGGAAACTTATTGCTGTGATTATGTCAGTTCTTTACTCAACTCAACATTCAACACTGTCTTCATCTATATTTTTTAAATAGCGCTCACCTTATACTTCTTCGATACTGTTTTATTCGGTCACAGATGTTGCAGTCTATAGTTGCTTATTTTAATGTAAATGACTGCTACATTGTTTTTTTTATTTTTTTTTTTAAAAACATTATAGTCGATCCTATCTTGTTTTATTGTTAGCTGTCGTGATGTTCTCTTACCGCAAGCTAGTAACTTTATCGTTGTGATGACTCCTGTTTCAGTAAGTGTAAACCCCCTCACGTTAAAATAGTGGGCTAAGACATAGTCTATGATGTAATATTATACAAAGAAATAACTAACTCTACATAAGTAATGGTAGGTAAATGTTGTCTCAGCAGAGCTGTTGTCATGTCAAAAACGAGTAATCTTGGATTAGATGTATGCGCGTCTAACTGCTATAATACACATCGATTGAAACATTAATTCTTCTTTTTATAGTCAATGCGATGTGACATTCGTAGTCATATCTATCCACAGCCTTCTGTCCTATGTACTTTCAGTTATTTATGGCACAGAGCATTTCTCATGTCATTTTGCCAGAAATGTCCAGCAACTTCTAATTTGGTTTTCTTCCGCTTGTGTTTCCCTCTAACTTTCACGATATACTTCATGTCTTTCCCTCCAGTACAACTGTGCCATAACACTTAACAGTTGAACCTGGTTTCCGAGATTTGTAACTGCATCATTCTTATTCTTGAGATGTCATTTTTGCCGACTGCAAACCTGGAGGGGTTTAAAGCGGGAATATATATTATCTTCTTCTGATGCTGGTAATCCCCTCTCTTCGTAAAGTTAATTTCTGTCATGACGTCCTCGTCCTTTTTAATCTATTTATGGTATTCTGATCAAACTTAAGCTAGATGACAAACAGTTTATTGGAACTTCTGTGCCATGATACAAGTAACCATACTGCACCTATCCTGTGTTGCGGAGATAACGCCTGGTTGATTAAGGAAGCAGCGGCAGCGAAGTTGCTAGTATGTCTGGCTGCCTTTTCGATTTATTAATCTATGTTAGGGTATAGCAGTTTTTTTTTTTTTTTTTAATTCTCAGGGCAAATTTAGAATTACAAAAATGTTCGCGGGCCGTATAAAAAATAACTATAAACATACCCGGATTTCCTGGTAACACTATATTTTTATGTGTGGAATAATCTAAGATTATAATCCCTCATAACGCCTATTGTCAGACACACTCACCCACTAAAGCTCTTCTATATATTTCTAAATATGGTTGTTCAAGCTTTATATATATATTGAAAAAAAAAATAACTGTTAACATGCATAAGTGCCAAGTCAGCAGACAGGTACTGCCTCCCATCTGAGTTTGTCCGCAACACGCAGTTCTCTAGGAGGATGAAAGATTTGGCGACACAACTTTCTGGTTATCGTCGACGAAAAACATAACTTTTCACAGGAGTTTACTGCTGGTGAACGCGAAGAAAAAAAAGAAGAAGAGTCGGTAAAAATTTTTTTTGTTTATTGCATGAACATTTTCATTTTTTCAAATGTCATGATTCATTTTATGACCGGACATTGGGTCTCTTCCTGCGTCCAAACCCAGCGACAACTTTCACAAAGCCTCTCTTGTACTGCATGCGCGCTTGGCACGGCCAGTTCTTCTCTTGTTTTTCAGCTTCTGGTGTCTGTCCGCGGACTTTGCCGGCACTGGCCAAGGTACCGTGGACATTGCCTCCAAGCAATCTGAGTTCAATGCTCAGAGTTGACTTATCTCTCAAAGCAGCCAGCTGCCATTCATCTTCCAGGAGCTGGCCTTCAAAGACCACCGTCATCTGCTCCTTGGGCAGAAACTCATTGTCTGGCACTAGAGCCTTCCCATCTCCAACAGTCTTCTGCTGGCTCAAATCTAAGGTGTAGGTCTGAAATGATCTCACAAAGAGGGGCATCCTGAATGATGTGTCTCTCAAGCATACCGTAACCGTTCAGCGGTGATCTCACAAAGAGGGGCATCCTGAATGATGTGTCTCTCAAGCATACTGTTACCGTTCAGTGGTGCAAGGCTTGAGAAGAACCATATGTTAAGGTTATCACTATTTGGATTTTTTTTCGTTGTGCATACAAACGTATGTTTTTGTATTCTGCGATTTTATGAGTTTAAGGGTCAGGTTATATAGTTCTCTTACGCCAGCCTAGTGAGCCAGTAAAATTGTTGGGCATGCTAGTAAAAATGGCTCGACTAGCTACTTTTGGCTCCCGGGCCATAATAATACCCCTGACTACGTATATCACCAATGTAAAACATTATTCAGCTATCAAACAAACCATCACACCAGATCGTTATGTCATGACGCATATACTGTGTATAACGTATATCAACCCGTTAAGTTGATGTGGAAAGAGATAATAATTCTGTGTCTGGGAATATTTCAGGGGCGGAGGCACTCACCAACAACTCAGATATTATTGGCATAGCCGTGGCAGGATGTGCCAGCTTCGTCCTCCTGACACTTGTTATTAGCATGCTGATCGCTTCCTGTAACTGGCAAGTATAGTTTGTATCCGCAGTTGTGGCTCGCCTCTGGTTGCTGCTTGTTGACTTACTTAATTGCTTAGTCAATAGCCTTCTACCCTGGAGTGTAGAGGTTTGCTCGAAAAATCGTTAGGCTTCTGTATCCGCAGTTTTAGAATTATCTTGGTTCCATTGAAGTCATCTGACAGTTAGTAACTGTAGGATGACATCTTCCAAGCGAACCTTGGGTCTTTTTGGTCCCTGGTTCCCTGGTTCTCTTGATGCGTTTTCTTGTGTATACATAAAAACATAAGAAGAAGAAGAAGCAGAAGAAGAAGAAGAAGAAGAAGAAGAAGAAGAAGAAGAAGAAGAAGAAGAAGAAGAAGAAGAAGAAGACGAAGACGAAGAAGAAGAAGAAGAAGAAGAAGAAGAAGAAGAAGAAGAAGAAGAAGAAGAAGAAGAAGAAGAAGAAGAAGAAGAAGAAGAAGAAAAAGAAGAAGAAAAAGAAGAAGACGATGAAATTGATTATCTGATTCTTTATTTCCAACGACATTTATCCTGCGTCGACATCGATACAGGTAATTTATTATACTTCCGCTTTTGTGTGTGTGTGTGTGTGTGTGTGTATGTGTGCGTGTGTTTTGTGTGTGTGTGTGTTTTGTGTGTGTGTGTGTGTGTGTGTGTGTGTGCACCACGGCGGATTGGTAAGAATAGTAGCAGAAGGCATGGTGCCAGGAAAGAAGGACAATTGCTGACCAGCATGAAGATGGACATTGGATATAAGTAACATTGGATAGGAAAGTACACAAGGAGGGAGATTTGGTGAAATACCGAGTTAACAGCCCCGAACTCTCCAACCCCTTTTCAGTCCTCCCGCCTTTTCAGCCCTCCCCTCAAGCTGGCTGTCTGAGTGACGTTTAACCACACCATGAAAGCACAAGAAGCGACAAATACCGGATGACACAAAGTGGCATCATTCGGATGAGAATCACCCCGGCACAAGTCCCAGAAACCGCGTTCAGCCATTAGGATTTATTAGGCTCCCCAACGACAGCCGTTGTGAGGCTTTAAAAAATACGTTCCAAATTAGGACGGGTTTTAATAATCTCAAGCAGTAATGATACTGCGTTCTGATACTTCTCTTCAATATATACATGTTTGGGGCTGGAACAACGGATTAACATAATGGCACACAGGTAGTATCCTATAAGTGCTCCGTTCTTCTTTTAACTCAAGTCTGAGTCCGAAGAAGCACAGTGCACAGGCTCTGTAGCACCGGTGAAGTTCCTGAAATACTTTGGGTAGATTTTTAATTCCAGATTTTTCCTGGGCAGCGCCGTTAGGCTACTTTTTACAATTTCAAACTGCCAAGTGATTTTTAACGTGTTCAACAATGCACATAGGCGTCCGATCTCATTACCCAGAGACCAGGAGGAATTGCTAGAAGTTCAAGTCCAAGTGAAAATCTCCAAGCCCTTGTCGGGGATTTAGCCCGGAATCTCCAGCACTCGAGGCGGACAAGACTCGAGATCACGCAGCCTTTTTTTCAATATATACATGAGAATACACAAGTTTACGCATTTCTGTTGCTGACTTGTACAGGGGCACCTGGTTCAGGAATTGGATGAGACAACAAGGGAAGGTTCGAATGCCAGAGGCTTATTTTAAGCAGAAGAGGGGACTAACTCAACAAAGATTGATATCAGCTTCTCCTAGAGTCGCAGTACACCAGGTGAATGGACATGTTCCACGCCCAGCCGTTGATAGAGGTAAGCAGACAATTAAATTATATTATATGATATACATACAATATAAATATAATAAAACACGTCATTGTTAATACAATGTCTGATAATTAAGTAATGGGACTGGTTTTATTATGGCGAAGATAAAAATGTCATCTATGAAGCAAAGCATGAAATCTAAAGAAGCAACATTTATCTATGATCTGGCAACATTTCATCGCCGCTCGATAAGCGGACAACAAACAAGCCACCATTTTGTTGACCTAGTCAGATATGCATTGTTACGTAATCAGCACGGAACAAAAAGCTACAATTAAATTCTGTTTAAAACTCAGAAAAAAAGCGACATTGAAACAGTTGAATTGGTGCAACAAGTTTATGGGGGATAATTGTTTATCTCGTGCACACATTTTCAGGTGGTATTCACGATTCAAAAGTGGTGTGGAAAAGATTACTAATGCACCTAGACCTGGACGCCACATTTATGTTTGTAATAATGAACTCATTGCAAAAGTCAGAGAGCGAATAAAAAAGAGATCATTGTTTTACTGTGAGGATGATGGCAGACGAATCTGGTGGTAATAGAGAGACCATTCATAATATTTTAGTGCAAGATTTTGGCAAGAAAACAGTTGCTTGCAGGTTTGTACTACATTCGTTCTCTGGTGATATCAGCGTTTTGAGTACCTAAGAGACATCATCAAAACAAGAATTTTTGGCCCAAAAACAAGTGTATTCCACCATATTCCCCAGATTTGTTTGCCTGTGATTATTTGCTACTTCCAAAATTAAACTTACGATTGAAAGTACGCTTCTTTAGCCATATTGATGACATCCAAAGGGCCGTAACATCGACTTTAAGGGACATAACAACAGTAGAACTACAGAGGTCGTTCCAGTGTTTGTTAAATCGTGACACTTGCTGTATCAGTGCACATGGAGCTCACTTTGAATCAGATAGAGGTTATATCTTCAACTGTTGATTATTTTAATTTGTATGGAATTAGTCTCATTACTTCATTGTCGGACCTTGTATATTATGTTCAACATACCATAGTATAAATTATTACATATCTTTTAGTGCACTTGGTAATGTATGCAACATAAGAAATAATTCTATTTAATACAAACAGTTTTAAAAAAATATATGTTTTCAAATTTGTTTTTTAATTTGTCAGTCATAATGATCATCATATGCCGTGCCGGTGAGCGTAGGCTCTCATGTTTCGCTATCTCACACGATCACAATAATCCCGGATCAGTTCAATGTTTTTATCTCGCCCCATCCATTTAGCCATGCCATCCAGGTATTTTTCTCTTTGTCTTCTTATTCCATCAATTTTTTCAGTTGTTACCAAATTCAACAAAAAAAAAACATTACTACTCCCATCAAATCAGTGACCTTGATAAGTCTTCTTTTAGTCCATCCCATGTGGCGCTGGTAGTCAAGTCTATCCACAATCTTCTTCTATCTAATACTTTATATATCCTCTTCATGTCGCTGTTGACACTTAAGGCATTTAAAAGTGATCTCCATTGCTACATTCCTTCATTTCCCGTTCTGTCTGTCCTTTTCCAGGTTTCCTTAGGTCGTCCACGTCTCTTTTTTCCATCTGCTGTCCACAGGAGAGCTGATTTTGCCAGAGTGTCACAAGGCATTTTTCAGACATGTCCAAACCATCTTCATCGTCTTACTTTGATAACATTTGCCAGTGATGCACATTCTGTTTTTTCGTCAGTTCTTCTTCAATCTCATATACTTTTAATCAATTCTGACACAAATGATCTTCCATGCCATGATGTCAAATTGCCCAGCATATTCTCTCTCGGTCTCCCTCTGCCTCCTTTCTCCTCCAGATTTTCCGCTATTAAGATGTACTCCAGTTTTCTCCTTCTCATAACATGGCCGAAGACTGCAGATTGTCTCCTTTTGATGTGGGCAGTCAGTTCTCTTCTTAAATCAGTTTCTTCCAGGACATCTTCACTGCTCTTTATATCTGTCCATGGTATTCTCATCATTCGTCTATAAAACCACATCTTCGTAGCTTCATAATAATTTTTTCACAAATAGACCAACTTCCGTTTGTCATGATAGGATTTACATTTTTTTAAAAGAAATCTCTTTCTCGTTTCTTTTGACAAAGAAAAATTGCATAGAGTATTTGAATAGTCTCATCATCATCTCATGCCTTGCCAGCTGGCGTAGGCGTTCACGCATCTTCACAAATCTCGGTCTTTGGTGTTACGGGTCAATTCCACTGATGATATTCCTCCATGCCACTGTCTCAAGCCAGTCTGGTTACGGCTAATAAGTCAGCCTGCTTCATATTTTGAAATTCATGCTTAAAACCATCCCATTCCACATCATGCATACAACATAAACATGACCGGTGGGGCTAAGAACAGGATATGACTGACAACAAATAGGGAAATCAAGTGAATCGATACTGACAGGACTAGAACACTTAACCTCTAATACCATCCCATCAGTGGGCTGATAGCAAAGGTTAGTGACGTGATACGTATAAAGAAAATAGTAAAGTTCCCTTTTCACGCCTTTAGGCGCAACGGGCATATGGGCAGAGCGTCCCATATTTTTACAGACCATCAGCACTCTGTGGGTAATGTGGTCAGCATTACGCCGGCTGTCTTTACTTTCCCAGGACAGCCCATCCTAATTCGTATAATCCTAGCTAAAGGCCACGCTAGAATCCAGCAAGACAGCAACGACGAGAAATGACTGAATGGCCTTCCGCCCCCTTTCCCCTCACCCTTCCCTACCTCTTTCGGATGCACTATGAGTTCAATCCCCACCTCATTCCCACAGGGAGCACTTGAGTTCGGTACCCAACATACCACAGCAATACTCATCGCCGAACATTTGGAACTCAAAGCGTGAGCTGGGTGCTCCGGGTATATGGTATTTGCGTACACCAGAGCCTAACCGGGTTACACACTAACAAATAAGGAAAAGAACCGCTTTGAGGCTCTACCTAATATTTCACACACATATCCACGACACGACTAAACCGTTCATTTTGCAGGAAGACAACTATAAGACCACTGTGGTCACACGCGAAATATTTTCACATTTCGGAACTATCCAAAATCAAAAACTGTTTTCAACATTTTTTGGCAAAGTAAGTAGTCCAAATTTTAAAACTATAAATGGTGGTACAAAGGATGTTGTGTAGAAAAAATTGCTCTCCTACGAAATACTCCTGGCCAAATCAGAGGGAGATATAACCAAGAGGAAACACAAGGAAGAAAAAGGAAAGAAATGCACAGCTAACAAAAGGATGGAGGACGAGTTGTCTGACTCGGAAAAAAAGCATTAGGCCCAGAGACGGCGCAAAAAAACCAGAAATGTAGTCACGAAAGTAACGTAAATAACCCAGACCACAGATGTAGATGGAGACTGTTAACAGCCTTGGCTAGCATGCAGCAGTCTGAAAGGGGTCGACCTTTTAATTTTTTTCTTACAAGGAATCGGAATCGGAATATTTTGAAAGAAACCGTTTTGAGAAAATATGTCGGGTTTTATTTATAGTAAGTCAGTTTTATAAATATTTACTTTTACAGTTCAATCCATGGTATAAAAAAATTACATAGTTTTTTCGTGTGAAAAACAAAAATTTAAATAAAATATCAATAATTTGCATTCTCTTTTTCCTTCCTAATTACAGAAACATTGGTACAGGGCTGGTAAGTAGTTATGTGTGTATGTGCTTGTGTGAGAGTGTGAGTGTGCGCGAGTGTAAATTAGAGTAGTTTTAAACACTGTTTAAATATTGTATATTATATTCTTACAAAGCGACCAGTGTTTGACCCTCTTCCAACCCCCCGGAAAAAAATATGATATTTTAACACAGAAGACACAAACGAAAGATTGCATGTTCAATTGTTCGGCATAGTTTACTGTATCTCATCAGGTGCATGCTGGTAAAGTAAATTCAGTAAAGCAAACTGCAATTTGTTTCTGCTTGTGTTCTCTTTGTTTAAATTAAGAATCGAGATACAAAGAATTTAAATATTTTTTTTTTTTAAACCTAAATATCTACTTTAAAGCTAGAGGGTACTGGCACTTCAGTTTAAATTCAGCCCAAACAAAGGAAGTCCAGGAGTTCCAGAGATGGTTCAAACACATCACGTGACATCAGGGTGTTTTTTTTTTTGCGTTTTTTTTCCGGTTTTCTTTATATAAGGTGTTTTGAGAACCCTAAGCCTACATATGGTCCCCATATGGGACGCAGTTTTTAAGAAATATTATTTTTAAAACCCCACCCCAGCTGTCGTATTGGGCCCTAATGCAACCTAAAGGTTGAACATGGTTTTTGGGGTTTTCGCCCTTGGGATTCTCGTCAGAATGGTGGCACTTTGTGTCGCCGTCCTAAAGAAATTATTTACACTATAATAATAATAATATTTATTATTATTATTATTATCATTATCATCGTCATTGTTGTGTGCTGAATGGCAAATATATGAGATAACATATTTAAAATAAGGTTAAATTTTGAATAAATAATCTAGAAGAGACCATCTGTACATTGTTGAGGCGGGTCGGGGCGAGTACTTAACCCCCTCCAAATTTTCTAGAGGTGGAAGGGAGAGAGGCTCAGCCCTCTAAACGATTGCTGACGGGGCCCAAAGGTCTGACCTTAACCCTTTCAGTCCTAAGTAAAATCTGTTTATGTGACTGAATTTACCCTTACACACCTCTACAAATCATAAGGTTAAAGGTTAAAGTTACTGTCAGTATTTCTTCTTTCTTATTTCTCTGCCTTTCTAGCCCTCAAGGGAGCACAGGCCCTCAGCCAACTCACGCCAAGTTGTTCTATCCTTCGCTATCGCATGCAGCTTTCCCCAAGTCCTCGCCATCATTTTAACTTCACCCTCTAGCTCCTATTCTCAATGTGTGTTTTTTGGTCTTCCTTTATTCCCCCCCCCCCACCCCCCTATGGGTTCTAGCGCAAAGACGTTCTAGTTATATTGTTCTCAATTGTTCTCTTCGTGTGTTCTATCCACCGCCAGCGTCTTTTCTTCACCTTTGGCGACTGGAACTTGTTTAGTTCTCTCCAAAAGCTTTACATTATTGATAAAATTATACCAGTTTATTCACTATATCTTGTTCAAGCAACAGTTAATAAATGTTTGCAGTTTATTAGTAATTGCCTTAGCTGTTCTCCATATTTTTAACATTTGGGCTGAAAATACTGAAGGAATATGGCTTTTCCCAAAGGTCACTGCAGCGATTTATGCTACCACTTCGAAAAGAACGCATTCACAGTTTTGCCTCATGATTATTTCTTCACCATGAAACGTTCTGGTAGTAACCGAATAAACACTCCCCAGGAAATAGATATATCATCAGCAGTTTCAAGTTGTTCCTATTCCACATGCTTGTCTCGTAAATTGTATGTATACTGTTCTCATTTCTGTTACACAGGCGACAAGCAAATCCCAGTGTCACAAAGAGGATTTATGAAGAAAAGGTCAGAGGCTGTGTAAAAACCTGTAAAATATTTTATTTTTTACTGTAAGTGTCTGTCCAGGTTTACCATCGCAGGGGTTCTAAAAAAGAAAAATGTAAGAGCTTCATCTCATCTGTCTAGAATCATATGTGACAACAATGATTGCTATCTAACTCTTTCATTCCAAAATAACTGACGTTGTGCGAGCCAATGATCTCAAGGTCAGACGTGAGGACACAATACCTCAGAAATGAAACAACTGCCAAAGTTATACGAACAACACACTTATAAATAACAGTTACGCCTTAACAAAAGAAAAGAAAAAAAAAAGAACAGGAAGCACAATCAGGAAAATGGACGAGCAAAAGGAAAGTCTGATAAAGACGAAAAGAGAGGAATCAGACATGTTTAGAAACGACAACTATACTCTTATTTAGAGACAATACGCCACAACTACTGATACAACAACTCTGTTAACCCATTAAACTTTTTTTGTATATCCAGTTTCGTCCTTTTTAGAACGAATTTTTTGTTATTTAAAGCCCCACCCTGGCTTTTGCCAGGGGCCGCAATATAGGCAGGCCATAAATATGGCCAATTGTCTGAACGCCGTTTCTGCGACCTCTCCACGGCGATCCTCATCCGCATGGTGGCACTTTGTGTCATCGGGTGCTTGTCGCTTGTGTGATGTCCTGGTGGGGTAGAAAGTCAGTCAGTCATTAAACTTTACGCAAATAAAAACCACACCCTAGTTGTAATCAGAGTTGTCTTCAGTAGGGTTTCCTTTTTAAAGAACGAACGAATGGCACACAAGTGTGGCGATGATGCTGATGATTTTACTAAATCTGTATAGATAAAAAGTAAATAAAAAGTAAAGGACCATGTTCCACGCCTTTTGGCGCATAGGGCATATGGGGCTAGACCTATATTTTTATAGATCAACGGCACAAGATGGGTGATGTGGTCAGCATCACGCCGGCCGCCTCTACTTCCCGGGACTGCACCCGGTACCCACTCAAGACTGGGTCGACCAGGGAGCCAAGGTCATTTTTTGGAAAAAAGTCCGGCTTCGCCAGGGAGCGAACCCACGACCTTCCGATCCGCGGCGCGCGTCTAGCCGCTCTGCTAAGGCAACTCCCAATCAGTATAGATACTAACTGTTAAATGATACATGAGTTGATTAAAAAGAAACTTTAAATAAGTTTCTACTGTTCTATTTACAGGATGCTACAGTGGAGCTTGGTGATGAAGGTGATGATGAATATAAAATTGAAACTGAGGTAGTGGACAATGAGGTAAGTCAGTCAATAACACAATGCTGACGTCGATGTCATGTCGTATCGTTTATATCACAGTAAAATCTTGTTAAGAATTACCTTGAATCCCATGTCTACCAAGCCTTAAATGGGTATCAACTAGAGTTTTGGAAAGTAAAGGCGGTCAGCGTGATGTTGACAATATAACCCACCAAGTGCCTATTGGTATATAAAATTTAGGTCAAGCCCTATATGCCCTATACGTCTGAAAAGGATCCTTCTACTTTTTAAACCCTTGTTAACACGAATTTCAAGGGATCGAAACCGGGATGATCCGACTGAAATATTTTTGTTCAACTTCATCCTAACCTATATTATCAGGCATATGTTTGACACTTGCATTACCTGTCTTAATATCAAGACTATTGTCAGACGGAGATTCATCAGAGAATAGTCTGAACAGTTCTAGACCTTTTCCCTTTTCATTTGGTCTGGAAAAATAAGATGAAAATTTTATCATATCTAATTATTGAAGAACAAAGCAGAAAATGGCCCAAATACCACGTAAAACATGAATAACAAAAGGACTTCATTTCGCTAATTGTAGTTTTTCAAAACATGTTCAAACAAATTCATTTTCCCAGCAAATTAAACAGTATTAGAGTATCTTTATGAAGAAACATTATAGAGTTCGATCTGAACGGGATGGATTCAAGAGCCACTAAAGTGGCGTCTAGTCCGTAAACAGTTTAAAACATTCTGAAGAGGCTAGGCTGCATGCATAGTCAAATGGTGCGGTATGCAGTTAAAGCCGCAAAGATCAAGAATTGTGTCAGTCCTTAAAGGTAAAGTCGCGTCAACCAGTTTCACCGTGGCAAAAAAAAAGATCCTTACGGTTTTGAACGAACCAGTGAAGAGCCTAGGCCTTATCTACAATTTGAAGTTATCTGATAGAGTGGAAATCAGGTGTATACATGAGTCACTAGCAACAGGCCTGCTTGCTGTCGAGCAATGCAGGCTGATCTGGAAGTTTAAGGTTTGGTGTGGAACTTATGTGGATTTCAAAGCTTCTCTGGCCGCTGCTTATGTACGAGGTAAGCATGGCTGCGGTGGAGACGATGGAGACAAAATAATCACAGCCATGAGGAAGTTACTGGTAGCGCCGCTATGTTGATTGAAGTGGCTTTATATTGTAAGCAGTCTAAGCTGGGGCTTTCGTTCAAATCAATAACCCAAGAGTTTAAATTCAGCAAGGTTAGACTCGCGATGATGCTACGCGAGTCTTGAGACCCCTAGTGGCCGCTGTTCAGCCTGCTCTAAGGACGGGGTCGAAATGAAAGGTCGAATATGCTATAGAATCTGCTCAGAAAGCACTAGAATTGAAGGGAATCATGGGTTACACACAAACCGACCGACGTGGCTTATGGCAGATAAGGTCACTTGGTAGTCCAAAGCCTCGGCAAAAGAACGCAGAGACATGGTAATACAACATATCAGGGAATCTGAAAACGAGATTCGGGTCCACAAATAGCCCAGCAGTCGCAGCAAGAACAGTGGACGAGCTCCGAGAGCTCTTTGTCACAAATACTCACATAGGGGTCACATCTTATTACAGAAAGCCTTGAAAGAGTTAGCGGACATTGTGGATCATGCCATAATGAGGACCCATGCAAGGGCTAGTCCTACCGTCTCCTCATGTGCTTCCTAAAGACTTGGAAGAGCTCTAAAGGTAAAGTTAACAAAGTCGCATACGCTCCATCAATACTTGACTGTGCGAGGGACTGGTTACTGGCGGTTGACCTGCCTGGTTTCGAAAAGTACCCACAATCAATCCAAAAAAATCGGCCTGAGACCTGACATTGTCCTTCACTCTGCGGAGAAATGCCAGTTCATCTTGATAGAGCTGACCGTGCCGTACGAGATGCGGATGGAATAAAATCACATGTACAAGCTCGAAAAGTACTAAGCGTACTCGTAAAAAATCGTCGCCATCGAGGTAGGCGCACGTGGTCTCATTTCAGCTTCCACATACAGTGTACTAAAACACTTGGGCTTGCGAGGAAATGAACGGAAACGGGGGACTAAAACAGCTTGGCGGGGCTGCTGAGGGAGCTTCGAGCTGGCTCTGGTCGCAACGGAACGTCGTAGGTGATGGGTCTCTGTAGACTGGTCCCAGCCTCTAATGGAAAGGAAATTCTCATCCCTATAAAGCCAAAGTGTCCGATAAATGTCTGCCAGTGTCTCTCTGCTAAATGCCAAAGTCTAACAATTGTCCAATGAACCAACTATAAGCTTGTCACACTTGTCCTGAAGCTAGAAGGGTAATTTACTACCTCAGCACCAAATATAACACCAAATCTCACAATACCTATTGCAAAGTTACTGTCTAGTCTTGTCACTGTCCGAGAGTCCGATTAAGTGCAACAGGTGAAAATCGAGGCCTGGAGTCATGACCCAGGTCAGCCAACCTTGCGAGATTGTCTAGGAAGTAATGGGCCGAAACAATCGTCGACAGAAGGATCTTTCTACTCATGATCGGTGTACCCCTGCTGTGCATGCCCCCCCCCCCCCTTTGAAAATGTCTTCTTCTTTTTATTGTTTCATTTCTTTTTTTCGCAGTATTATAGAACCCTAGGCATATTCATTGCGATGACTGATATCAAGCTTTTTTACGAAACTATGTACATTCTAACGAGTGTTTTAATTTTTTTTCTTCATAATTAGCATCTTTTCGTACTTCTAAGGCCTGTATTATGTTTCTGAAGACGTTTGCTACCTGTCAAGAATCTGCATGTTACAGCAGTATGTTTAACACTATATCTTTTCAGGTGGCCGTATATCGTTTGACGCAGAATGGCTCTGTTTCCATTGTTCCTCTCAAATTACATTAAAAAAAAAAAAATAATGCTTCCATTCTCTGAAGACATCAGCAAGGCATCGACAGCTTTAAATGGCTTGAAAAAAAATATGGAACTTTAAACAGTATAGTATAATTTTAAAACCAAGTTACGTTTTCTCAGTTTTAAAGTTATTCCAGTTTAAATGTATGCCAGTGAAAGTTGGATCGTTAATGCAGCGTCCTGTAAAAAACAAAACAAATACTTACATGTCCTTAACAGGACGTCGCAGAGACACTCCCAGCATTTCTTGGCTGTTGTGGTTTTCTAACTTTTACGTTCAGTGGTTTGCCATTGCTTACTCAACGATCTGCTCTCGATACCAATGTCTAAACCAGCGTAAGGCCACATCGCCTGTACCTGGGATCGAACCCAGCAGCTCGGCATTACGAAGCGAGTTCGCAACGACTAAGTCACAGAGGCCGACCACAAACACAGACGTCATGTAGAAAGGTGCTCAATAACCCTTTGTATCATTTTGTTTTACGCTTAATACAATCTCAGTAAATGCTAACTACATCTTCCCTTAGACCCTCGATGTCGGCCCGTTCAAGCACGACCACTCAAAGGAGATCCCCATCAAGGGTGATGTCTATCCCGAACCTTACATCTACAGCGCCGTAGACAGCACTAAAAAGCCTGCCGTTGGTTTAAGCAACTCTGTAAAACCATCCAACGATTCCGGAAAACCAGCCGCCATCTCTCAAAAGTCTGACAGAAGTGAAGGCAACTCTGTAAAACCATCTAACGATTTCAGAGACTCGGCTGCGGTCACTAGAAATTTGGAGAATGGGTATTATGCCGCAGATGGTAACACGGATACGAAGTTTGGCGAAGGTCTTTTCTATATGTAGTCCTCTGGCAAGATACATCATGTCTGATTGGTGTGTGCCATGTGTGTGCCATAAATTGTTAATAGTCATAATTACGTTTGTATTTTCAAGTAATAAATTACAATATATTGTATATGCTCCTTGTAAATACATATTTACAACCAGTGTCTACTTTAGTTACTGTAATGTATGTTATGTGTGCAAGGAGTTTATACTGAATTTACAAGTGACATACCGTGTTTGCAAATGCTATGTAATGAAGTTACAAGTAATGTTGCAGTAATCAAGGTATTATATTACAATATATTAACATACATTTCATGTCAAAAACGACTTCAATATAATGTACACTGTATTTTCACGTAAAGTATACTGCATGTCCAAAAAATATGTTACACTATCACTGAGTACCAGGCAATGTTATGGAAAGCAAAGGCAGGCGGCATGGCCTTGACAGTATCACAGTGGAATGCCGATTGGTCTATAACGATGGTTTCCTATTTTTGTTTCAGATGGCGCCAACTTGAGTATATGACAAGACCGCATGCCCCCACCTCCCCGTAATTTGGAAAAGCTCCCACGCCTTCTCCATCCCCATCCTCCCTCCCCACATAACACAATTGGATGAAAACGAGGAGCAATGTGTTCTTAATCTAAAATTAACTGTAGGTGTTATTAAACTAAATTAGATTTTTTAACATTAGATACACAACCTTAGTTGTTTTATTTTGTAAATAGTTTTATAAGTGAAACGAGAAAAAAAAAAAAGAATGGTTAAAAATATATTTTGTTTGTAACTTTGTGAATGGAAACGGATTATTAAAAGTGCAAAAACAACTCATTTTCAAAAACTGCTTGACGCTTCTGCACCCCCATCCCGAAACCCCGCCTCCGCCCCCCCCCCCCAAATTTTTTTTCTCCGCTCTTATGGAGTGTCCCTTCCCTCCCAGCCCCTAAAGGAGACTGCTGGACATTAAGCTGATAAGTAAAAAGGACCGCTATTTAACTGTCCCAACTTTTCTAGCCTAACTTCTCATCCCGTAAACAACTTTGGCTGTGTGGATTTTTATCATGGCATGGGGCGTCGCAGGTCAACACAGCCTCAAATGGGTACTAGGATGTACGTCCTCGTGAAGTAAAGACGGCCGGCGTAATGCTGACAACCCTACCCACATGGTGCCGATCGGTCTGTAAAAATATGGGTGCTGTTTCCATATGCCGGACGCGACTTAAAGGCGTGAAAGGGGATCTTTACTTTTCTTTACTTGCTTTCTACTTTACTTACTAACATCTGATCTCGTATTTATCTTACGAAACATATTTAGCTTACCCTATGCTTAGTACAACACCCCTACCCCCCAACCACAACACCCCTATCCCCCAACCACAACACCCCTATCCCCCAACCACAACACCCCTATCCCCCAACCACAACACCCCTATCCCCCAACCACAACACCCAACCTCCGTTTAGGTTGTGGAGCTTCATTTTAAAGAACAAAGAATGGACCTGCTGTCCTCTAGCAAGCGTGTATTATGCGAATATGTAGTGAGTTCCCTTCAAAATTGGGGTGCACCTGCCTAAGAGGCGAGGAAGCAACAGTCTGCATATAATTTACCCAGATTTGAAATAATGTATGTTCACGCAAAACGCAAGTTCTTGAAAGAGACTAAAGTCCAGGAGTGGACGAACAATCAACACTTTCCGCTGCATTTTACAGCCTATAAAGTCCAAGAAGAAGATATGCCTAGTTCGCCTTAAAACGTACAAAAGAGTCATTTCTTTGTACAAGTTACCACCATCAGTGCTTCAGTTCCTGTAGTGACCAAAAGAGTCATTTCTTTGTTCAAGTTACCACCATCAGTGCTTCAGTTCCTGTAGTGACTAAAAGAGTCATTTCTTTGTACAAGCTACCACCATCAGTGCTTCAGTTCCTGTAGTGACCAAAAGAGTCATTTCTTTGTTCAAGTTACCACCATCAGTGCTTCAGTTCCTGTAGTGACTAAAAGAGTCATTTCTTTGTACAAGTTACCACCATCAGTGCTTCAGTTCCTGTAGTGACCAAAAGAGTCATTTCTTTGTTCAAGTTACCACCATCAGTGCTTCAGTTCCTGTAGTGACTAAAAGAGTCATTTCTTTGTACAAGCTACCACCATCAGTGCTTCAGTTCCTGTAGTGACTAAAAGAGTCATTTCTTTGTACAAATTACCACCATCAGTGCTTCAGTTCCTGTAGTGAACAAAGGAGTCATTTCTTTGTACAAGTTACCACCACCAGTGCTTCAGTTCCTGTAAGGACCAAAAGAGTCATTTCTTTGTACAAATTACCACCATCAGTGCTTCAGTTCCTGTAGTGAAGAAAAGAGTCATTTCTTTGTACAAATTACCACCAACAGTGCTTCAGTTCCTGTAGTAAACAAAAGTCATTTCTTTGTACAAGTTACCATCATCAGTGCTTCAGTTCCTGTAGGGACCAAAAGAGTCATTTCTTTGTACAAATTACCACCATCAGTGCTTCAGTTCCTGTAGTGAAGAAAAGAGTCATTTCTTTGTACAAATTACCACCAACAGTGCTTCAGTTCCTGTAGTAAACAAAAGAGTTATTTCTTTGTACAAGCTACCATCATCAGTGCTTCAGTTCCTGTAGGGACCAAAAGAGTCATTTCTTTGTACAAGTTACCACCATCAGTGCTTCAGTTCATGTAGTGACTAAAAGAGTCATTTCTTTGTTCAAGTTACCACCATCAGTGCTTTAGTTCCTGTAGGGACCAAAAGAGTCATTTCTTTGTTCAAGTTACCACCATCAGTTCATCAGTTCATGTAGCTCACACAAGAAACACCCTGCAAGTTGTTAGAAGCCAGAAACATCTGCAAATATCCTAATATCATGTGCGTGGAAACCTAGGAACGTAGGCCACTTCGACCCTCCCATAAACACTGGGGTGGGGTGTCCTGCTCTCCTTCCAGAATGTCGTGTGTGTGTGTGCGTGTGTGTGTATGTGTGGGTTACCTCATGACAGCCTAGTGTGTATTTACAGGAACTGGACATGTTTTAAACATGTGTGTGAGTGGTGTGTGTGTGTGTGTGTGTGTGTGTGTGTGACTGTGTGTCGATGTGTGTATGTGCGTGGCTTGATGATTTTCCTAATTACAAGTGAAAAAAAAGAGAGTTGATATTCCAAATGCATACCAGCTATACTTATACTTCTGTTTAACGGCTGTAAAAGAACGGACGACGACCGAAGCAGCAGGTTTAACGGTCACTCGGGCTATGGACAGCAGTGAGGCAAAGCTGAACTATAGCCACTGCTGTAAAAATACACCAGTTGAAATTATTATATTTACGTTGTGCAAGCATTATCACATTTATTGTTGTGTTTGATTAAAGGTAGTAATTTCCTGTCTTTTGGTGATGCCATGGTTGATAATCGTATTAGTCGCTAAAAGCCATAAAACAGGAACTATTAGCTCTCTGAAATTGTGGACAGATGTTCCCTCTTAAAGAATTTTTTTTTTTTACCTGCACAGTCCGTGCGACAGCGCTAGCTAGGCAATCCAACACCCCCCCCCCCCCCCCCCCAATTACCCTCCTATCAACCTTGCCTACACAACAAAAGTGGTAAATAAAGCAGCAACAGCAGTTAATGACAGTTCCCACTCTTTTTATTAATGAATGTACAAACACAGAGACATTTTTTTTTGGGTAGGCTATGTACACACAGGTTCTGGACATTTTCTGAACCTACCCGAGGCCGCGAGGTTTCTAATCCATTACCCCAGTATAAGGTCTATAAAACAATACAAGTTCTTCTTCTTCTTTCGTTCGCCTGAAAAAAGTTGTCTACATCAGAATTGCTGCCTGAAAGGCCAATGGTGTGAAAGCGGCCCTTTACCATAAGCTGCGACAGTGCATAGCTTACCATGTGCTGTCGTGCTGTCGTGTATTGGAATCCGATTTGATATAGGATTTTTATTATTTCTTTATAATAATTTTTTTACATCCAAATTATCCAGGCCCCTTACTTGACTTATTGAAATTGATTTTTGTCTAATGAAGTATCAGGAAATGCACTGTAAGAATTGCCTTATTCTTCCTCTCGTTAACCGGCTGTGAACTCTGACAGAAAGTTCTGGTTGTTCGTCCACTTTTGGACTTTAATCGTCTTCCAGAACTGGGCTTTTGCCTTCATATCTGTTCTACAGATCTAGCTTACTTGTATGCAGACTCTTGACCCCCTGCCTCTCAATCAACTGCCCTCGAATTTCTCAGGAAAGAACCCTAATTGTTGACTTTTACAACTCGCTTATTAGAGGATCAATGGGTCTATTGTTGATTTGGTTCCTTACAATGGGGTCTGTAATCCACACAGGGAGTCTGGAAGAATAAGCCGCAGGTGTGATACTGACCACATCACACAATGACAGAGGGGTAGCAAAGTCAAGAGGTACCTGGTGCGGAAAATAGTCTGTCATCCCCCCTTCCTCCCAGTGGCATTGCAAGGTCAGTAGGTAGCCGGTGCAGGACATTTCATGTCACCCCCTACAGAAAGACACACACACACGCACTCATACATATTATTTTATGTTAAGAATACATAGTTTTGCTACTTTCGTCACCCCCTCAGTGATGTAACATCTAGTACGCACACTCACGCCCCATGTTACATCTCTTCCCACCGTGTATTGATTAATCTATGTTTGTTTGTTTGCTTTAGTATCCAGAAGCCATGAGTTGTTAACCCTTAGGCTCGGTATCATGGATATCGCAACCTTTCGGCCTTGATTCCATTGTAAATACCGTAAGTCTAGGAGAAATGTGGCTTTCCTGCCTACCCCCGGGAGTAAACCCGGACCACAAGGAGTTCGTCACCCGGTCACCGCGCAATCCGGTTTAGCCAACTACGCTAGAGAGCCGGGCTAGTTAATCTATAAAATACACCCTCAAGTTGTGGAAGACAACCCTTTATTTATTACACCACATGATTCTTTCATTTGAAAGCCCATATTTTGATTTAGACTCT